TCTCCACCTGCCCCCGCCCCATGTGCTGTGCCTCCTCTTGCTGCTGAGCCCCCTTCTCTGTGACCACCATCTCCGCCTACCTCTGCCCCACAGATGTAGCCCTTCCTTTTCTGCTGACCATCAGGACACATGGGATGGGGCTAATGTTGCTCAACTGAGTTGGGTCTCATTGTTCCAATGAGCCTACCACCATCCCACTGACTCTGTGAGCATATTCTAACCTCAGTCCAAATTCCACTTCTGGATCTCTCCCTTTCATCCAAGTGTGAATTTTCTTACAACACCAATTGTTGTAGTGACCACTTCTCCCTAAAATATCCTTAACTTTTGGGCACCAGCTCATCAAGCTCAGGGAGCTGAAGTCTGATTTCAGTATTTCTACATTACAGATTTTTATTGTCCAAAGGATTTAATTGTCCAAGGGATTCTCTTTTATAATTCTTATTCCCTCAATTTTCCTATGTTATAACTCTATGCCAAAATAAATCACCTCTTTCCTATATGAAAAATCGGTGTGATGGTACTCTTCTTTAAGATTTTCTATGCTCTCTGGACAACCATACGGTACATACACATGTAAGACATACAACATGGCTTTGTCAGTCTTACAATCTTACAAAGTCACAGCTTCAGTTTCACTGACAGATCTCTTTAGTTCTTAGATAAGACATATTCTTGGGAATTCTTGGATAAACATCAGAGAAAAACCTTTTTGGAAAACCTGTAGGCAATTAATGCTCCCTGGGACATCTTTTCCATATTATATATCTCTGAAAGCAGTTAATAGTAATTATAAGGAGAGTGAAGTTGAATGTAGCTGGGAGCAACTGACGATTTGGGAAAACATAATGAAAGGCTGAGGGTGATAAATCAGAGATTAAAGGACAGATGTAAAAGCCAGAAGTTTCATTGGCAGCACAGAGACTGACTCTCATCTCCTGCAGTCAGAGGGCAGATAAAGCTGAAGACCAAGGCTAGGACATCACCACAGGAAAAGCAGAGCTCCAGAGGTGGTTGTTCACTCAGTCTAGGCAGTACTGCCATGGCAGGGTCAGGGCCCTAATTGGGAGAGATGGGGACCCTGAGATATGAGATGGGGACATCTGGATTGATGCATTTGAAGATCTTGAGTCCCCAAATTTCCCTGAACCCTCTCGGCTTGGAGAGGTGATCCAATTTCCTTGTTGACATTTAGTGCCACCTCCATCTTGAAGATGATGCAGAAATTTCAGTCTTGGAAGACAGCACAAGCTCCTCTCACTACCTTCTCCCACCTCATTTTGTCACAGACCAATAACTACAGTTAAGTTACACAACGCACCCAGACAATGGCCAAACCTGTTAATGGGAGACTTATATCCCAAAAGATCTGTAGGACCCAAAAACTGCTTCATAGATCGTGGTGTGCTTTTCAATCAGGAGACACATAATGTCCAGTTGTCTCCTTTTTTTTTTTTTTTTTTTTTTTTTGATATAAGCAGCTACTGATGATCATTGCCTAGGACCATTATTCATTAGGCATAGCAAAATCATGATACTGCAATTCTATTATTCCTCTGCCTGCCATTTATTAGCTGGGATAATTCCATAAAAATAAACTTCCCTCGTCAACATTTGGTAGTCCTAAGGAATAGTCTGGACAGGAGAGGCAAAATAAATGCTTGATTTTTTCCCTTTATTTCCCAGTTTCCATCCTCCAAGAGTGACCAAAGAGGTTTTTTTTTATTGTTTTTTAAAATTTGCATTAATATGAACTCATCGATTTCAATAGACTTGATGGTGAATCAATCCATTCCAGTTTATATCCCTCTATTGATGCTCAAATAAACAACTTTGAGTTGGCCTCCAAGTCCTTTTGACATGAATCTAGTAGTCTTTGAAAATTCCTTGCTTTTTCATATAACAGGATATTGCAGACTCGTTTATGTATTTCCTTCCCCCAACTTCTAATCAGTCATTTCTCCAAGGATCCCCAGTTCCTTTTAGGTAGAAACAGTATTTGAGACCATAAATTGAAATATGTGATGTTCATTACTACTAAATCCCTAGAAAATATATATTTAAATGATACCCAGGTCTTTAGTTTCTACTGAGAACTACAGAGCTTTTACTTAAACTCATATATCTTACTTATAAATCTCATTTCTTCTATGCAAAAGTATCAGTTCTTAGTGACACCAATGTATTTACTCATTTTCTTTATTCTATGTTTGTCCGACAGTCTCAGAATAACATTACCAACACTATACTTACTGAAATCAAACTTAAGACTTTTTCTGTTGTTTTATTTATTTTTGATCTTGGAATAATTGCTTTTTATGCCTGCATATACAGTTAGGGTCCTTTGCTATTGCCATGTTTTAATAATTTTGAGATTTAAAATTTTTAATTTTGTTTTAAAATTATGTAAAATATTGACATGAATCCAAAGTCAAACCTATAGAAAGAATATATTCCAAAAATTTAGCTTCAATCCTCTGTTCTCCCACTTTATCTCCTCTACCTTCTCTGAGTCAACCTTAAAAAAAATTATGGTTGAGGGGTGCCTGGGTGGCTTAGTCGGTTAAGCATCTGACTCTTGATTTTGGCTCAGGTCATGATCTCACAGTTTGTAAGTTTGAGCCCCACATCAGGCTCTGTGCTGCCAGTGCAGAGCCTGCTTGGGATTTTCTCTCTCTCCCTCTCTCTCTGTTCCTCCCCTGCTTCTGCTCTCCACCCCAACCCCTCTCTCTCAAAAAATAAACTTAAATTATGGTTGATACTTCCATTATTTTTTCTTTTCTTCTCAGCTTTATTAAGGTCCAACTGACATACTAAAATCGCATTTAAGTGTACAATTTGATGTTTTGATATATATTGCTGTAATCAACACCACCATCAAGATAAAGAAGATCTATCACCCCCTCTGCATTTCCTTCCCATACTCCACCCCTAGACAACTACAGATCCAATGTCACTACAAGTTTGTTTCCATTTTCTAGAGTTTCGTGGAATCCTACCATTGTGTACTCTATCTTGCCTGGCTTCTCACACAGCATAATTATATTGAAATTCATTTTGTTATGTGTATCACTAGTTCATTTCTTTTTATGACTGAGAGGTCTTTCCTTGTATGGAGACACCACATTTGTTTATCCATTCACCTGTGGATGGACAGTTCGGTTGTTCCTAGATTTTTTTATCTTAAAAAATAAAGTCTCCGTGAACATTTGTGAACAAGCCTTTGAATGGACATATCATTTTAACTTTATTTTTTTAATTTTAATTCCAGTGCAGTTAATATGCAGTGTTATATTAGTTTCAAGTATACAATACAGTGATTCAACAGTTTCCATCAAGATAAGTATACTCTTTTTTTTTTTTTTAATTTTTTTTTTCAACGTTTATTTATTTTGGGGACAGAGAGAGACAGAGCATGAACGGGGGAGGGGCAGAGAGAGAGGGAGACACAGAATCGGAAACAGGCTCCAGGCTCCGAGCCATCAGCCCAGAGCCTGACGCGGGGCTCGAACTCATGGACTGCGAGATCGTGACCTGGCTGAAGTCGGACGCTCAACCGACTGCGCCACCCAGGTGCCCCAAGATAAGTATACTCTTAATCCCTGCACTATTTCACCCATCCCCCCCACCCACCTCCCTTCTGTTCTCTATAATGAAGAGTCTGTTTTTTGGTTTGTCTCTTTTTATTTTCCCTTTGTTCATATGATTTTACTTCTCTCGGGTAAGTACTTTGAGGTGGAATGGCAAGGTCATATAGTAGGTGTATCTTTAACTCTTTGAAAAACTGTCAAACTGTTTTACAAAGTGACTGTGCCATTTTATATCCCTTCCTTGTGTGAGAATTCCAATGGATTCATGCTATCACCAACAACTTGGTAAGGTCAGTCTTGTTAATGTCAACCATTCTAGAGTGTGTACGGTATTCTCACTGTAGTTTTAATGTGAACCTTCTTAATGATTACTCCTTTCATGGGTTGACTTTCCATCTACATATTTTCTTTGGTGAATGCCTATTCAAATATTTGCCCATTTTTTTGTTGGGTTATCTTATCATTGAGTAGTAAGAGTTCTTTATATGTTCTATATACAAATCCTTTGTGGGATATATGCTTTAAGTATTTTCTCCAGTGTGTGGCTTACCTTTTAATTTCCTAAATAGTATTTTTTAAGTTTTTATTTTCATTCCAATTAGTTAACACACAGTGTTATATTAATTTCAGGTGCACAATATACAATTCAGCAATTCCATACATCACCCTGTGCTCATCACAAGTGCACTCCTTATTTTGCCTATCTTCCCTCCCCCCATCCCCTCTAGTAACTATCAGTTTATTCTCTATAGTTAAGAGTCTGTTTCTAGACTTGTCTCTTTTTTTTCCTTCTGCTTATTTGTTTTGTTTCTTAAGTTCCACATATGAGTGAAATCATATGGTATTTGTCTTTCTCTGACTGATTTATTTAGCTTAGCATAATACTCTCTACCTCCATCCTTGTCCTTGCAAATGGCAAGATTTCATCCCTTTTTATGGCTGAATAATATTCCATTATATATACATACCACATTAATATTAAAAAATTAATGTAATATAAGCAAATACATTTTATTTTTTTAATTTTTTAATGTTTATTTATTGTTGAGAGATAGAGCACAAGCAGGGGAGGGGCAGAGAAAGGGAGACACAGAATCTGAAGCAGACTCTAGGCTCTGAACTGTCAGCACAGAGCCCAATGCGGGGCCTGAAACCCACAAACCACGAAATCATGACCTGAACCAAAGTCAGATGCTTAACTGACTGAGCCACCCAGCAGCCCCAGCAAATACATGTTCTATAGGTGTTCTCTTATTTTTTTAGACACATTGTAGTGTCTACAGACACTGTAGACCCTTCTCTCCGTCTACTTTGTCATCTCAACAATATATCCTGCAGATTACTTCACAGTAGCATAGCGATATCCCGTATTCCTTTATACAGCTGAACAGTGCTCCAT